AGTTCGGGAAAACAGGTTAAACAATTAATTGACTTCTTTTTGATAGCATTCGTTTTCAGAGTAGTGTTTCTCTGCCCGATAGATTTGGCTGCAAACATTACCCCGTTTGCGAGTGGTTGGGTGGTTGCTCTCGTAATGTTGAATGATTTTCTCATAAGCTTCCTTACGGAACACTAATGTGCGGAATTTTCCGACAGTGCTTCTCCGTACGAGGGCTTCAAGAACTAGGAGGTCCACTCTGATCCAACTATGAAAAACTCGGTGCCTCGGAGGGATCCGAACCCACGACAGCAAGGAGAGGCTTTGGTACAGCCAACGCTCTAATCATCTGAGCCACGAGGCTCCATAACACCTATGAAATAGGAGTTTGTTTTCAACTTCTTTCTCGAGCTTGAAGGCAACTGCTGGCAATGTGGAGCTGATAACGTTGTGCAACGTTCTCAGTTGATCCATTCTGACAATAACAAAGGTGTTATCTACAGAGCGTACCACTAATTTGGGGTTGAATGATGGCAGGGCTATAGCCTTTAATTTCTGCATCGTGACCTCAGCCAGAAAGCCAGAAATAGACTACCCAATAGGAGCATCTTTTAGCTGTCGACGGCATTCATGTGCGAACGAAAAATCTGTTTCCAAGCTAAGCCGATGTAGACACATTCATGTCACAAAACTGTAGTTCTTCTGCGGACTGTCATGCCAGATCTATCGATATAAACGAGAAAAGAAGTATGACGCCGAGAAATACCATTATTTCATCCGTTGCGTTGCGAGTTCCCGTAATTTTTGTTGAAATTCAATAAAATTCTCTGTTGGATTTACATAATCCCTTGTTACTGAATGGAGTTCATGGAATAGTCACTTAGAAATCTTGTAATTTGTTGCACCGCTTAGTGACACTATTAGTTGCAATGCTATGCTGAGTTTGTGAGCTTTCAGCAGTTTATTGATTTCAGTTATTGTTAATTCATTTTGTTCTAGGAATTTCGCAATGTTTGCCGGTGGTTGTTTCTTTCCTGCAGACCCTTTAGCACTTTATAAATGGGCAAAACCTGTGCTTTGGTAGGGTTCGCGATAGGAGACATGTAGGGTTGTCCATTTTCCAACAATGACAGTATCTTTTCATTGTAATCAGCTGGGTCCAAAATTTCCGTTGGGTCTCCTTGGTCTGTACGAAGAATTAAAACGTTTTGTCAGTTTTAAGGGCTCCCAACGCTTTCATTTCTTCGTGTGACATTACTGAAAAGTGGGTGCGGTTTTTAAATGCTCGTACAGTGCGCTCCGGATTTCGAGACGTTCGTCATCTGTGAGATGGTCAGAAATTCTTTTCTCTGCGTATGCGGACAATGAGTGCTAAGGTCGATTGACGACTCCCTTAATGTGCACTATTAAGACAAACGTTTGTCACTAACGCCTTGTTAATTTGGATGTCACCCCCTCTAAATGATGTGAGACGCGGTACGTTAGTCACTGCCGGCGATAGAAGCTTGTCTGCTTTTGAAATATCAGGACAAAGACAAGAGAGACTGGAATGGCCATTTCTGGCTTATTAGCCGTCGTCAGCCAGCCATACCCAAGCCCGAAGTGTGGAACACCCGAGCCTCGAACTCGCGACCTTTTGATTTAGAAGTCCACGCCTCTACCCACAGGGCCACGAGCCCGTTGCCCTGTCGGTTTTCGATCGGGAATATACAATGGTAGGGGGCGCTCATCGGTAATACCATTCTGCCTATATATCATGCGCCACTGTGCGGCTGCTGGTTGGGCTCGAGAGAGAGCCCTTAAGACACAGCGGAACGAGTGAGTTCCGTATGAACTATAGGTGAGCGTTCCCTACCATTGTATATTCCCGATCGAAAACCGACAGGGCAACGGGATCGTGGCCCGGTGGGTAGAGGCGTGGACTTCTAAACTAACAGGTCGCGAGTTCGAGGCTCGGGTGTTCCACACTTCGGGCTTGGGTATGGCTGGCTGACGACGGCTAATAAGCCAGAAATGGCCATTCCAGTCTCCCTTGTCTTTGTCGGTAATACCATTCTGCCTATATATCATGCGCCGCTGTGCGGCTGCTGGTTGGGCTCGAGAGAGAGCCCTTAAGGCACAATGGAGCGAGTGAGTTCCGTATGCACGATCGGTGAGCGCCCCCTAACATTATATATATATATATATATATATATGAGAAGAAGAGGCGACCAGGGGAACCATAGTTTTAATAACTTAAAGTTTCAAAAGCAAACAAGCTTCCATCATCGGAGGTGGGTTCTGACGGGTGCCTCACTGTATTTATGGGTGTTGAGCATGCCGACGTCCTGTCGTTCCTAATGCCATTCGTGCAGGATGCACTGCGGGCGGGAGTTAATCGCTGTCATGCTGGCCAGTGCCTTTCCTCCTCTCCTTGTCCGGGAGCGTTGTCAGGATGGGGACGGTCATTGGCCTCGTCTGCATTGCCCGCACTTGTTGCGCCTGACTCACATATCTCGTATTTGTCCCCCGTTTGCGTCTGCCCGTGTGCGTTTGCTCAGTAGTTGCTGAGTCGTTGCGGGTCTCTCCTCTCTTATCGGGCTGTTGGCAACCGTCATCGGTGTTTGGGCGTGAGCTGTGTTCACTCGCGTCCATGTTCCTAACATCCTGCCTGCGATTCCGTTGATGGGACCGCACTCGCAAGGCCTGGTAGGCCGCCGGAGAATCGTGCAGTGGTTGATGGAAGTTGGTACAGTGTGCAGGCTTCGAGCTTTTCCCTGGCTGTCTGGTCGATAACTCGGCCTAGGATTTTGGCGTCCTGGAAGGCGAAGGTGTATCCAGAGGCAGTACAGTGTTCCACCACCAGCGAGAGCTGGCCCATTCTTCTCACTGTACTTGCGTGCTCACACATTCGGGTCTGTAGCCGTCTGCCGATCTCTCCAACTTAGTTCACCTCACAGGACCTGTATTAGACACAGTAGACGACATTCGCCGCTTCACCTCGTGACAGAGGGGACTTGGGTCTCATGACCATGACTCACGACTCACGGACCAATATTTTGGGCGCGGTGTGTGGACGATACCGTTGTCGTTCTCACGCGGGAGATGGTCTCCGAATTCCAGGCGATCCTGAACTATGTTTTCGAGGCATTCCGTTCACAATGGAGGCAGAGGTCAACAATTAACTAGCGTAAGACCTATAGGAGCGTACAGACGACGTTATACCGAATTGCCACCAACACACGTCGGATCCTAAGTTACTACAGTAACCACCCGTTGTGCTACAAACGTAGCTGCGTGCGAACTCTTTACAAAAGGGCGGAAACTCATTGATGCGAGGCAGATGACAAAGCAGCCGAACTTCATTATCTTCGGCGGATGTTCATCTCCGATGGTTACCCTCGCAGCTTCATGGAGCGCAGCAGACAACCAAAGAAAGCGATAAGGCCAAAGACAACAACCAAAAGTGCGACGGGCACTACCGTATTTCGAGAACGTATCCGAAGTAGTCTCTCGTCTCTTACAACCACTGGGGATCGGCGTTGCTCGCATTAGGTACACCGGCACGCCGGCATGCTCAGCATCCAGAAATACAGCGAGGCGCCGTACAAAACCTACCCCCGACAATGGAAGCTCGTTTGCTTTTGAAACGTCGAATTATTAAACCTACGGTTCCCCTGATCGTGTCTTCTTTTCATTTATTCCCCGGGACGCGCATTTGTATGTATGAAGGGAAATGTCTAGTCTGAAAAAATCGAGTTGCACTCGCAAATTTTCGAGCTGGTAACACCGGCACGCCGCTAGACGAAACAAGCAGGAGAAAGATAAATGATCAGACTAGACTGGTTGGCGCAACAGGACAGACACTGACAGACAGGCAACTAGTATGTGAGGGGGGTGGACACATAATTGTGCTAGAATTTGGGGTGGAGGAAGGTAGGGAGAACTGTTGCGGCCCCCTATATTGGAGGGGAAGGGGGATGACGATTCAGTGAGACCGCAGACGGTGGAATTCGTGGTCCTCAATGCAACTGGCCAGAAGTAGCCGTTCTAGTCTCCATTGTCCGTGTTAGTAATCTCTGCTGCATACATTACTAGTCTCTGTGCCAATGCCTGTGAGGCTCTGGATAGAGCCCCAAAGTATGACGGGACCTGCATACCTCGTAACGCGACTGGTGAACGCACATACAACATTATTAACTTCCCCAGTCACAACTGAGAAGACAGCGAAGGCCTGGCACATTGGTTAGAGCTTTGGTCTTCTTAACGCCTAATAACTAAAAGAAACGGGTTCGAATCTCGGGTCCTCCCAAACTTGGAGGTGATTGGACCTGGCTGACGGTGACAAAAAGGCCAGAAATAGTCACTTCAGTCCTCCTTGTTTTCTTTGTTAGTATCCTTTTGCATATTTTCACATATATGTTAGGAGAACGCTCGCCGATTGCGTTTCAAGGCCCACTAGTCCCGTTGAGCTTTTCGGCTCAATCTAAGGCTCCGTAGGGTGCCGCACAGCGCTTGGTAATATTACAGCGAGGGATTACTGGCAAAGACGAGGAAGACTGGGATGGCCGTTTCTGGTTATAGCGTTCGACTAATAACTAAATTAACGCTGGTTCAAGCCTCAGGTACAACCAGACCTTGGGTTGAGTAAGGATGCTTGGAAATGGTTAATAGCCATCTCATTTTCCCTTGTCTTTGTCAATATTTTCCCTCTCTCTACAAATATATCATAAAATTAAAGATTTCGCCTGCGATTTTCTCCAAGCTGGACATTCCCACAGGCATGCAGAATGCGCCCGATGTGGGCAAGATTTACAGAATAAAACATTTGATTGTTGATTATGCTCTGGTTAAGGTACACTCGGCCAGAGCCAAAAGAAAAAAATGTTTATTTTGATACAATCACTTAAAAAGTGGTTAGTAAAATTCCTCTTCTCTCACCGCTACTAAGATACCTGGGAATAAATTTCGGAAAAAGGGGAGCTACATAAAATTATGGGTAAAGGGACAAGTCAAATCTCAACTTTCACATTTCAGTCCCATTACGGGTCTGGAATCAGACCAGCAGTTGTGAGAACAATTATCGACCGGCGGTGCTGGTGGTGGTGGTGATGATAATAATAATAATAATAATAGTAGTAGTAATAGTAATAGTAGTAGTAGTAGTAGTAGTAGTAGTAGTAGTGGTAGTAGTAGTAGTAGTAGTAGTAGTAGTAGTAGTAGTAGTAGTAGTAGTAGTAGTAGTAGTAGTAGTAGTAGTAGTAGTAGTAGTAGTAGTAGTAGTAGTAGTAGTAGTAGATGAAGTTGAACAACGAAGTTGAGAGACGACGCCGCGACCGGATCAACACATGGATCGCCGAACTGCATAAACCACTTGTACCCGAGCATCGGGCGAAATCCCAGTACTAAAGTAAGGGTGCGATTTTGAAGCGCGTTTTGAATACTTCCAAAACGTGACTGAACCCTTGACTTCGAAAAACACCATCGAAGAAGTGAGTGTTTGCTCACATTGTCCTTTGTCTAGCTAAAAACCCCGGATTGTCGTCCTTACTGTTTCGTAGGAAAGCATCTCTGCGCGAGGAGGGCACGTAGACAGGTCCAACCAGGATGGCCATCGACGTAAGTTTTTGAATGGGAAAGGTTCATAGACCCAGGTTTTACGCCTCCTATGCCAAACGTTCCATCAACTGTAGGCTTATTTGGACTCACCGACGCCTAGAGAGTGAACAAACAGGCGTGGTCTCTTCGTGGTTGGAACGACTTCCATTGACTTAGAGATTAGGAATATCAGGAAGGTCTCACTGTATATTTCTTTATGCTGATTGCCCCTCCTTAATGTGGCTTCTGTTGCACTCCCAATAAATATCGGTTCGAACCGCCCCTTTCTTGTTTACGTGAAAACTTGATCTGTCGTACGCGGACCAGGCGTGTGTGTGGTTCGCGCGAACGGACTATTTAGCCTTATCAGCAACTGCGTCCGATGCCGCCTCTGATCATCTTGACTTTGTTTCGATACCGGGCTAGGGCGGGTGGGGGAACAGTGAGGTGGATATAGCGCATGCTTAATTCCACGCGCAAGGACATCGTCGGTATCGACGGTCAGAAGTGGAATACATCCAGAGACAACTGCATCAGTTAGTGGATTTCAGCGTGTCCGGGACGAGTCTTTTTTCATCGTACTTTTATTGCAAGAGTAATTCGATGGTTTCAACTGTCGTATCCTGAGGAATAGAACTGAAATGTTATGTGACAAAAGACTTGATACCAAGTTTTTTGCTAGAGCAATTTTGACGAGATGACTGTAGTTTCGAAATCAGCGGCTAGGAATTTCAGACGTAGGAGCGGCCACTCTGCCAATCCGTAATTTTGTGTGCCTTTGAGTGATGCGATGGGGCAGAGAGGGGTGCCATCTTTGTGCACTTCCGTAAAACCATAAAATTTTGCCGAGACTGTTTCATACGTTCTCGCCATGCGTCGGTCGATCGGCGTTTTGCACCAAATTTCTCCATTACCAACAACGTGCATCGATTTCACATGTCAGTGTTTTTACGGGGTTAGTTTTGCATTACACATAGAACTGACGATTTTCCAACAAGCTTTTGGCTTTCTGAAGGTAGTCCATCCCGTCCAATACGATAGTAGAACGCCCCGTGCCTGCAAGCACAATATCGAGGTCTGCGGCCATCCAGGACTTACAATTCACGACGGAGAAGGAAAAAAACAAACAGGTAGTCTTATTTTATGTCTTCATCTGTCGCAAAGATTGTAGTGACATAAAAATCGGTGTTCATGAAAGCAAATGACACGAAAAAGGTACTGAGCTTCAATAGCAATCACACAAAGAGCGACGAAAGTAGGTGCGTAAGCGCGCTATATCGGTGTTGAAGTGGATCGCGGTGAACTGTAAGACGAAGTTGTCGAATCACCGTATTTTCGATGGGTGCACTAGGCGAATGGTTACCCACGCAACTTTGTCAATCGGTGCATACTCATACCGTTTGGGAGATTCAATCCAACTGCCACCAAAGTTTGGCTTGTGCTACCGTGCATGAAAACGTCTCGGAAGCCATCAACCGCCTTCTCACACCACTTGCAGTTGGGGTTGCACGAAAACCAGGACAACCATCGGGCGCAAGGTCGTGAGGCCGAAGTTTCTGTAGTCGTTTACCGTAAATGATTCAGTTGCAGAGAGCGACTACGTGAGAAAAATTCCGGACGCAGATGGCCGGACATGCAGCGTCAATGAAGAAGAATGTTACTGGCTCTGAGTTTGCGGTTCACTTGTGGGTACTCGGTTGCACCTTCAAGCTTGACGAGGCCAGAATCCTCGCATGAAGCATTTCGTAATTCGCGTACTGTCTTAATCATTGGTCTTCGGCTCGCAATCAATTAGTAAACGCAATGACCTCCCGCCTCCGTACTCTGTACTGAGACTGCCTCGGAAAAGTAATTTGCTTTACGAGGAGGGCGTGGGTAACCAACATTTCCAGTAATAACGAGCCGAACTGTTGAGTAGTTATCACGCCAGGATCAACAACGTCTCAGAAGAAAAAGTTTGTTGGCCTGCTTTTTCCTATTTGCACCGGAACCCATCGTCAGAGACAATGGCAGATAAGGGTGATTGGGGCACAATGGATGCAGTTGGCACGTAACCTATATTGGTGACTATAGTAGACATGTGGTTGCGTGACAACTGTGTCCTGGAAATACCACGTCCCTGTTGCCTCCTGTAAGCCTTATCTGCGACCGTCTCTGATGATGGGCCCGGGTGAGCATTCGAAACATCAGTCCAACAAACTCTTTCAGCACTCGCATCCTCCACTTTGAAGACAAATCTCCAAGGCAGACGTCAACGTCTACGAGCATAGCGATGGAAACGATGCTACTATAAGGGCTAGCGTACTGGTTTTTGGTGTTTAAATAATTGTCGTCTTGCAATCACCTGCTCATGCCACATCGGTGTAGCGAACATGCACCTACAGATCTGCTTAGTCAACCCCAAGGGACGTTACTTTTCAGTGTAGTCAGAGCACCTCATGTGGTGACGACCACCTTTAAGAAATCGTTCGCCTCGTCGACATCATCTCTCTAAATGAGTCAGCAAAAAGGTGGACTAAAGAGCAAAAAATGCCACAGGCAGACATTACCGGCGGCCATGTCTCTAAGCCTCACATCACTGAATGTAACCTCGTAACCCCACCATCGAAGGGGCTATCCATCAGGAGCACATGATGGCAACCCATGGCAATCAATGGCAACGCACTGGAAGCGCTTTGACCAGGCAGTCTGTACGGATGGTTGAGCCAAAGCCGGTGTTAACAAGATTTCTACCGAGCACCCAAGAGATCTCGATATTGCAAAGTTGCGCTGTCTCGGGTTTCACGAAACGACAGGGGACCCACGGGCCATAAAGATGTTGGGAAGGACCAACCTACCCCGACCGAGTATGCGCCGCTTCAACTGCGTCCCAAGTTTTCGAAAGCTGATAGGACACGCTATTACCCGGTGTCCTTGTTCCCTGTGAGGTTACTAAGGAAACAGACTTCTCGGCGAGAATTTTTGCTGTCCGGCATGGCCGGTTGACGACAGCCAATAAGCCAGAAATGACACTTCAGTATCCCCTGTCCTTGTCGGAGATCTCATTCTGCATATATTGCTAGTCGCACTGTGCCCTCCTGTGTAACTCTGTATCGAGCCGCAAAGTTTAATGGGCGAGGAGATTCCGTAACCCGATCGATGAACGCCCTTCCGACATAGAAAAGTGCCCCTATTGGCTCCATTGTCTCTCTGCAAGTATATTTGGAAGGCGAAGACAATGGCTTTCCGGTAATTCAAAAGCCCGGTTAGGCCTTAATTTTTAAAAACCGGTTGAGCTGGACGGCTTCCTAGAGGGTTGTTTCCTTGGCATCTAAGATCAATATTACCGTCCACACCAGAGAATCGTTAATTGACGGTCATATGATTATGTCGGTGGCCGTATTGGATGGTTGGCGGCCTTCTCCACATCGAAGAGCACTAATAATCACTTTAGGAATAGACAGCATACAAGAGTAGAGCCGCTGTACAGTCTCCAACTACTTATCTTTTGTATCTGAGAGTCGGCTTATCTTGCAGTTAACCTTCGCTGATGACCACTCCACAACCCGCCGCTTCTGGATGTGCCGGACAGTCTTTACTTGTGCCAACTAGCAGACTTCGTCTGTTCTGAATTTCTATTGTCCGGTGTGGGCAGAAGGGTTGATTTTAGGTCAGCCATTTCATCTGGAACGGGCACCGCCACCTATCGTCCTACTGCATCACACTGATTTTTTTGACACATCCGTCGTGACCATCGATTGTCGGCAACCTAACAGAACGCACTGACGTCTACTTTCTGGTGAAATAAAAAGGTCGCTCATGTAGAGTCGTGCAGGGCGCCTGCTACTGCTTTGCCGTAGCGTCATTTTCCTCATTCACCTATCTGATGCACCTCTCAGAAATTACACGGCTGTACCCCTAAGTCTCCTTTTCCTGGTAGTTCGCACTCTTCGGTCCCCTTTTAAATGGCGATTAATATCTGTTAACCCAGCTGGTAATGATCGGGTGAAGGCCCCCAAGCATCTGTGGCATACGAAGAATACCTACTATTTTTATTTAAGTGGGTTTTAGTCCGACACGCTCATTCCGGTTCGGTGTTTCATCGCACAAGGTTGGGCCATATGTTGTAAACGGTCTGGTGCTTTATCTACAATTACCTCAACTCAGATAGTTGAGAAGAGATCGTTGTAGGTACTTAGCGTTTATTTTTTTAATTTTCCTGCTTAGTATCGGCAGCTATGTCATCGCATTGAAACTTTTCCGCCCGAAAAACGAATTTACCAATTATTTATACTTATTTTGCCATTATGCATACCTAGGTTCCGCCCGCAAAACCCCTATTACCACCTTTCCCGTAAGACAGGCACTTTTGGTTGGTCGTGTGTGTTTGGGATCCTTTCCCCGATCTTTGCCATCCAGCTGTTTGGTTTGACTATTAGTCGAGTTCAGTCTTCTTGTTTTTGATTCGTTCGAGTCTTGGTATGTGTTCGTGAAGTTTTAACCTTCTAATATTACGTCTTGAGCCTTCAGAATGATTGCCTTTCGCTCGCATTCCCCACTCTTTATTCTCAGTTCTCATCAAAAACACTATCTTGGCAAGTGTTGCTTAGAAACAGAAGCTTATTGCAATCTTTATGCATGTACCGATTCGTTGTCAGTAATGATAACTGTTTAATTGCAGTTTACGACAGCTGCCTGAAGGACTTCCTAATGAGGGTGTCTTGACCCAGCCCAAGCCCTGAGCTAGTCTGTTTTAAAGCCTTCGATTTTTGACATCAGTTAGATTCTCCTGCAAAACTTCCTGAAACGAGCAGTCATGAAAACGATACTGCAGAATAGGTCCGGTGTCCACTGTTTCCGGTGCTGTGGGTGTCCCATCCCTACTCCCGACCCTCCATGCCCTCCCATCCCTCATTCCCCTTCCCTCCCCTCTTATCCTCCCCATCCTCTCAGCCTACTCTCTATTCTGCTCTCTTCCCCCACGGTTGAAGTGTCTCACAGCGAGGGCGACATGCAATCACGTAGGCGGCCAAGGCCAATCGGGTCGTCCTCTCACTAAACCAACACGTGATCAAAGTGGAGTTCGACAACCGTCTGACGCAACCAAGCTGCCCTATTTAGGGACAGCACTGCTCACCCCCCGCGAGGAGGACGGGGCTAGAAAAGGTGCCCTAAATAAATACTGGGCTCACGACATGTGCGTGCATACCGGAGCCCGCTTACTGCCTAACATGCGATCGAAACCAAAACACAAGACAAAATACTCTCTCTTTCTCTTCCTCCTCCTCCTCCTTCCGGCCCATCCCGCAGGCTGGTGGGGTGAATCGCCCCGCTCTAGCAGTCTGGAATGTTAGTTCCCTTTTAAACAACTCGAGGAGCAACCAACTGGAACGAAAGACAGCGCTAGCTGCTCGAGAACTGACGCACTACAAGGTGGACATCGCTGCACCCAGAGAGACCCGGCTCTCCGAACAAGGTCAGATGGAGGAGGCGGGTGCCGGCTACACCTTCTTCTGTAGCGGCCGCTCCGGGGCAGAGCGACGAGACACGGGCGTCACCTTTGCCATCCGGAACGACATCGTGGAACGACTGCCCTGTCTGTCGCAGGGTATCAATGACCAATTGATGAGCCTCCACCCGCCTCTCCGGGGAGGTAAATTCGCCATCATCATCATCATCATCATCATCATCATCATCATCATCATCATCATCATCATCATCATCATCATCAGCATCAGCATCAGCATCAGCATCAGCATCATCATCATCATCATCAGTGTTTAAGCCCCAACAATGACTGGCTCGGACGAGAAAAAGGCAACGTTCTACGAAGGCCTGCAGGCCCTTTTAGCGTCTGTGCTGAAGGTGGACAAACTGATCGTCTACTGTGACTATGATGCTCGCGCCGGAACAGACTGCGCTGCATGGAGGGGAGTGCTGGGTCCTCACGGGATCGGCGGCTGTATCGACATTGGTCTGTTTATCCTGGGAGCCTGCGTAGAACACCACCTCCTGCTGGCCAACACATTCTTCCGCCTGAAGATGCGGAAGAAGGCCATGTGAACGCACCTTCGATCGCGGTGCGGGCAGCTACCGGACTATGTTCTCTTCTTGCGGTGACATCGGCAGGACGCGATGGTGAGCAAGGCGATCTCGGGTGCCGATGGTTGAAACGACCCTCGCCTCGTTATCTCCAAGATGAGGATTAGCCTACAGCCTCGCAGGAGACCTCAAGGTAAGCGACCCTTAGGTAAGCAGAGTCCTGCTTTATTGTAGTTGCCTGCTCACTGTTTCCATCTCGACAATCAACTGACCTAGCGACTGGAAGACCTGCCATCTTCAGATAAAAGCGCCTCCGTGGTGATCCGATGATGCTAACTGCAGAACACCGTTCATTCGACTTCGCTGGCTGTCCCCGGCCGCGCACGTCGCCAGCACCTGGACTGGCTCGACGATAGAGACGCAGTCATCAGCAATCGGTGCGCTGATAAGAACAGATTGCACAGAGTCTACCTCAACCGTCCAACCGACGCGAAAAAAGCGGACTGCTACCAGTGTCGCCGTCGTGCGCGGCAACTGTCGCGAGAAATGGAGGACACCAGCACGGCCGACGAGATCCAGGCATACGCCAATCGCAAAGAATCGAAGGACTTTTTCACTGCGATCAAGGCGATCTATGACCCCTAACCGAGGGAAATGTACCGCCTCTCAGTTTTGATTGATCAACGCTTCTCAAGGGAAAGTCGCAGATTCTGAAACGCTGGGCCGAGCACTTCAGGAAAGTTCTCCACAATCTCCGACGCCTCCATGCATTGGCCCCCCCCAAGTGGAAATCAACGTCCACCTAGATCTCCCGCCCTTCCTCCCTCCCAGAAACTCTCCGCGCTTTGCAACAACTCGCCAGCGGCAAAGCACCATGCTCCGTCGCAATTCCAACTGAAGTCTACAAGCACGGCGGCCTCCACCTGATGGACCAACTCACGACGCTATTTCAGGAGGTGTGACGCTGCGAACAAGTTTCTCAGGATCTCAAAAATGCAACCATCGCCCATCTCAACCGCCAATTCTGCGGCAACCACAGAGGAACCTCGCTGCTCAACTTCGCCGAAAAAATCTTTGCCGGCATCCTCCTTAATCATCTCAGCAGACACCTGGAACAAGGACTCCTGTCGGACAACCAATGCAGTCTCCGACGGCATCCGGGCACCACTGACAAGGTGTTTTTCGATCGCCGGCTTCAGGAGAAGTGCCAGGAAATGCGAACTACCTCTGCACCACTTCAGCGGACTTGACGAAGACCTTCGATACGGTGCATCACAAGGAACTGTGGAGAATCATGCAAAGGTTCGGCTGTCCCGAGCGATTCACTCACGTGGTACGTCAGCTCCACGACGCGACGATGCCGTGCGTCATGGACAACGCGCAATCTCCTAGTCATTCGCAGTGGTCAATGGAGTGAAACAGGGCTGTGCACTCGTTGCCACCCTCTTTAGTCTCATGTTCTATGTAATGCTGATGGACACCTATCCTGATGGGCGGCCCGGGACACACATCGACTAGAGGACCGATGGGCACCTTCTCGATTACCGGCAAATGAAGGCTTCGACACCTCTATCCACAGCTACCATCCATGATCTGCTCATCACCGGCGTCTATGTACTCTACAATACGACTAAAGAAGGCGCGCAACGAAGCATGGACTGCCTCTCCGCCGGGTGCGCCCACTTCGGGCTGACCATCAGTACAGAGAAAACGGTGGTCATGCACTTACCGTCACCCAACATGCAGCATTTCACTCCTCCTCGAATTACTGTCGACGGCTACAAACTCAGAATCGTCGACAATTTCGCCCATCTCGGAATCACACTTTCCAGCAGCACCAGAATCAACGACGAAGTGGCCTACCGGATCTCCAATGCCGGCCGAGACTTCGGCCGGCCGCAGAACACCGTGTGGAATCGTCACGACCTCCAACTGAATACCAAACTGAAGATGTACAAGGTCGTCATCCTGACGACACTTTTCTACGGAGGGGAGACCTGGACCGTCTACTCCAGCCGTGCAGCGAGGCTAAACCGCTTCCATTTTAGCTGCCTGCACAGAATACGAAAGCAGAGATGACAGAACAGGATCCCCTACATGAAGTCCTAGAGAGGACCGGAAACTTCAGCATTCACGCTATTTTGAGGAAACTACGACTATATTGGAGTGGCCATCTCGTGAGGATGGAAAACAGACTTTTACCAAAACAACTCTTCTATAGTGATGTCGTCACGGGTACTCGTCAGCAAGGAGGACAGAAACGGCGCTACAAGGACACTTTGAAGGACTTTCTGAAACGTCTGAAAAGCAAATCGGAGACCCGAGAGGACCTCGCCTAGAACAGACCGGCACAGTCATCTACAAAGTTGATCGGATCACCGCCGCCAAAGCCAAAAGGAGGCCCGCAAGTGACAAGTGCCTCGACTTCTCGATGCTAACAGTCAGCCGATGCCAACATGCCTGGGCTGTCAATGCACATTACGATCGAAAATTAGCCTCGTAGGATACCTTGAGATGCCATACACAAGCAGCCCGGCAACATCAAATTCTCCTCTACTCTCATCCCTGTGGCATCCTCGTTACTGCTGATTATATTGTCGCTGCTCACCGCCATCAATCATCGACATGCTCCAACCCCTGCGTCGATCACAGCGACCAGTTTCGCCAACACCACGACATCTCGCACCCCAACATCTTCCCCCATCATCACCACCTCCAGCGATGTAAACTCGGTCCCAACCTGGCCCTATTGCGATCACACATTCACTTCCCACATCGGACTGGTAGGTCACTTGCGAATCCATCACGCAAAGGCTGGTGAACCAGTGCCTGGAGCACCGGCATACACTCGCAGCATCCGCCTCAACTGCCCGCACTGCCCTCGCACATTCAGCCACCGCATGAGCCTATTAGGCCACATGCGCATTCACGAAAACCTGTGATAGACAACCGCCAGCCATACCTTACCGTCACACCTTTCTTCACCAGCACCTGCGAAACACACCAACATCATTCATCATTACACAACACAAACACGGCATTCACACCTCTCATGTAAGTGGGAAGTGGGATTCTCGGCTCCTTCTCCATGCGGTTCCTCTGTAGCATGTGTGATCCGAGTCTGAGACTATCACGGTACACCTAGAGCCATGGCTTGGAAGATTGTCGACTGACGCATCAACTCAGTTCCCGCGGTCTGCCCAATTTTGTGTTATTTGTATGGGACGGCCGACTGATGGGCTGAGAGTCAGGCTGCAATGGCTCTTTCCTATCGTGACCTCTAGCACTCTCACGCATGTGAGGAGTGTGTGTGTATATGGGTACCGCCTCTCAGACGATAACTGAATGGTGTACCGGGCCTTTAAGGGTGACGGTTCAGGCTAAACTCAGGGTTGCGCCCCACCCTTGTGGGCTTCAAGGACTGCGTGCGTACGCCGTGCAACGCCTCAGCAGACCATGTCCCTCCCAGCCTGGCGTGCGCCGACAGTTCTCCGGTACCTGGTTGCCTGCCGGAAGATGCGTTTGCGCTCCCGCTGGACATACAGGTCGTCAGCATGGCTGCCCAGTCATCATCCTCGTCCTTCTGACCATTCTGGTTGCCGCTCCGGTCGCCCATCTTTTTCTTCAAATCATCAACCCGGATCTCTCAACTTTGCCAATCTGGTGGTGTTATTGTTGGTTGAAATCCTAATCACGTATTTTTTGTGGACCAAGAGGTGTGAGGGTACGCCTAGGTGCGAGTCCGGCCGTGCCGGCCACTTCCGTCCTCCCTTATCTCCGGTCTTTCGGACTATGTCTTGACACCGTGTCCTGGTGGGGTAGGAGAGAGTGCAGTAGATGTTGCGCAAGTCTGCTTCCACCGTAGACTAATTTAAGCACAGGTCACCGTCCCTGCTTTACCTTGCTAAGAAGCAAACAGTGGGCATCTTCGGCAACGACGGTTGCACTGTAATCTGGGAAAGTGCCAAGTGAACAGTCAGTGATAAGTGGGCGAGGCAGGCATCCACAAATTGTGACCTAATAGTCTGATTGTGTGGTAAAATCATGAGCGTCCAATGCAATAAGCATGATTTAAATCCTGTTAAAAGGAATGTAAGAAAAAGAGACAACGGGAGACCATGGGACATCATCCGAAATAAATTGTTTCAATAGAATCGTCTTAAAAAACGCAAACATTGGGGATGGTCTAGCCTATATGCACACTGAACTGATTTTCAACTTCTAAACAACAGACCAATATTCCATGATTGTGCTGAGACATGATCCAAGCTCTCTTTACAGAAGTGCAAATCAACATCGCTTCTGAGAGGATTACCATCACTAGTGTATCGGGCATCTTAACATATAAATAATCACTGGCTTGTCGTATTTCGTCAGTATGCAGGGAAAAGAGGTGAGACGTTAAGTTGGCGCCTCTAAGTGCCTCCACAGTACACATGCGGACAAATCGATGTGCGCTTGTCTGAATGGACAAATTATTTTTGAGTAGTGAGGAAGTCTATTGGCAAACCTAGAGTCTAGAAGCGAGAGCCGCACTCAGATGGAGGTCCTCTAACACATAAATGAAGACAAAAACTCAAGAAATTTAGTCGCGCACGCATGAGAATACGAATGTGAGCTTCTGAAACCAGTGAGCACATGAAAAACAGCGTCCATGTACTGCGCCTGAATTTACATGCAAATTGCACGAGACTGGTGATGTGAGAGCATGGTGTTACAATGACGTACTTCAACCTGCATAGAAAGGTTTAAGGAAACCGATATAAAAACAACTGTATGGAAGAATAAGGATTGAAATACTAGACTTTCACGGACGTACGTTATTCTGACAATACGCCAAAAACCAGACTTCTTGCACTCACTGAAAACCAGGCCAGTTCTCTGCGTTAAGGCGGCGAAGACTCAGGAGCGGCGGAGAGGCGGAGGGGCATGGACAAATTCCGCAGCCGTTTGACCATGGGCATTTAAAGATACTTATTAACTATGACCGCCACCGCCATACAGAAGGCACTGCGGATAATAATGAGCCAAGTTGTCAGAAGCTTTAGTCCCTTGGACGAAGTGTGAAGTGTTAAGTTAGTGAGTCAAAGTCGGTATCAGTCAGAGACAGCCAAGTTTCTAGATCAGTACAGCGTTCGTTATCTTTTCGAGTCTCAGCAGAGGAAGGATAAGAAAAAGGACAGAAAACCTGAGTGACATATAAGACAATTAGTTTGTAGGCCTGCAGTTTTATTTGGTTTCTGATCACTTTCATTCAGGTGTGTTCATTACAAAACCATTTTTAGCGTCACACACAACTTATGATGATGACAGCGTCCAAGAGACTATTAAAATCAATAAGTTTATTTGAAAAGTTGCACGATTTTTGTTTTACCGGTAGACATTCGAAGGTTCAGTGACAGCAGGGTGGACAGCGGGGAGTTTCTAAAGTAAGCAAATAATTGAGCAGTGCATTGTAAAGTCAACTAGTTGCTGAGTTAGGGTTAATATCGCTGAGAAACAAAAGTCTTCATATAGTCATATGCTAAGAAAACGCCTGTTTATAAAAGTCAGCATATTCTTGGCAATCGCATCCATACATGTACGATTTCCAATGCGCTAACAGGACCTTTCCCCAGCAAATACTGTGTTCTTTCTGGTGGCACTGGAGGCCGGAGATTTTAAAGGCGCTTTTGAAATGCCAGTGAACACAGTTGTGTTCAGTGTGTCTCACTTTGTATTGAAAAACTACGATTTTTACAAAATATTGTCATCAGGAACACGAAAGTAAGACTCGTTTTGAAGGCATTTACCCGTTTAATGCGTCTTCGGATGCCGTTTATTTCATGCCTGATGGCTTGGTCCATATTTCCACATGAACGAAACAATACGCACTGTGAGGTCGAGCGCATTTCAGTAACTCAGTATTCCGTGTCAAGTCATTCGAACGAGCCTTGTCAGACTTGACACTCCATCTGAGTAGTCACCTAACTTTAAGCAGTTTGATGTGTTTCTGCACCAAACTACTCCTTATGTCACTTTGTCTCCAAGTGCTTCGTTTTTAAGAAAAAGTCAAAAGCATCAACAGCTCCGTGGCAAGGAAGTAAAAAATCACGGAAAATATGCGTTCAAAAAGTGCTGTTAAGTTGTCTGTCTCCTTTTGTAGGGTTTTCGACGTTTTTTCGATAAAATATAAAAATTGGACTGCACGTAAGGAGAAGATAAGGCGAATGGACACTCCTTGCTTATGTGTCTTTCACAAGTTGTAGAAGCCCGCCATCGCGATATCAGTGGCGCATGCGGGCGGTGCTTTCCTTCTCACAAGGACATCTCTCTTCCTCAATTTGCCTTTCGTCCTGTTTATGCTGCTAAGAAAGCTTTTTGAACCAACGGGCTGTCGAAGGTGCATAAGACCGCTCGTTTATCAAGTGGTTTTCAAGTTTTGTCCAGTATTCGGCCTCATCGAGTGCGACTGTCAAGCGAAACTTTTCGGCGGGTGGGGTAACGAGATTTCTCATTCACTGTGCTCCTTGATGTCCTCGATCTTCTCCTTTGGAAGAGCATCATCTAGGTTTTGTGCTAGATGAGGAAGGACGGCGCCAGTGGCCACAGGATGTGTTTGTATTCCTCGTAAGCTTTTTACTTCTGGAATTCCGATTCAACGGATACGACAAAGTCTTGTGGTCGAACACATTTTGCACTGAACTTAACATCATAGAACAGAACCATTAGTTATCTTTGCATGAGGGGACGCGAAGAGAGGTTTTTAATCAAGACCTCGTCTCTGGAGGGCCGTCTGGTGGACTTACTTACCTAGATTTCTCTAACAGTTGGTTTTCGCGTAAATTTTGGTGACATTTTGGCCTGTTGCGGATTCCCACTTTCAAGGTTCCCAGCTCGTGGGCTGTCAGGGTTGGATGGCAAGCTGACAAATGATGTTCTATAATTCGACCGTATTTGTGAATGTGAAAGGGCCGATTTTGTACCAGCACTCTTATCATTATCTCTCTGGCGTATATCATCACCCCTTAACACAGACCAGCGTTCACAGCGGTCCACATGTGAGGCATTTAGGCAAGACGCTCTCGTCAGTGTACTGGTGCAGGAATTTCACCAGAGTTTAGATGGACGACTCTCGCTTCGTAAATGTTTCCCGTCGGCATGAACAGCGGAGGCCTACGCACCCATAGCATAAAGCAGTATTCATGAAAATTTGGGAGTCCAGATATCTTATTGTGCTCAGCATCCCAAGAAGAACATGGAAAGGAAGAACAACTGATTTCGTGGATCGCATTGCATTCATACTGACGTTTCGGAATCTCCCGCCTCTCCACCAGCAGAGTAGCTCGGTGACCACTCCTGTTGCCATGATTTATTCGGCCTTCCAGTCTGTCCCGTATTATTATTGTTTACGACGCACGATTCTAATCTGAAGGTTTTTTACTGATTTGCTTTAACCCCTCTGTGACGCGCCCATTTGCGTTTGCATAGATAAACGATGGTAATTTTCTCTAGGTTATCTCCAAATCTTCTGAAGCTGCATGTTCAATTTGTCGATGGACTGGGGGCAGTCATGGTTGTAGATTCTAGCTAGAAGTGAGTCAGCGCCCGACGCTTTGCGCCGAACATCGCTTAGATGACTTTAGTAGTCTGTTGCGGCAGGGTCCCAGCGAGTTAACACTGTTTATTGTTTCAGCGGAGATAAACACCGACGCACTTAAAATGACTTTGGGGTCACAGACGGCATTTCTGGATGAAAAGAAGGTCCGTATTTTACTGCGGAGTGTGTATATTTGAATTGTCGGTAAGTCATATTAACCGAGTACTTTGCATTGCACCTGTTACGTCTGTCCCAGGCCTTGGAGTATTTGGCAATTCGTTTCGTTGGCTTTGGATAACATGTAGTCCATTTCTATCGGAGACCAGATTACAGAACTATTCTTTTGTGCAATCAAAGAAGTCCTGTTGCTGACGGTGTTCGCTGCCAAGGCCTTCCAGGGCAGTGTAATGGATGATGTTCCGGAATTGTTTTCACTGCGTTTCAGCAGTGACTTCCGCTTCTGAACATTTCGGGTGCTTCAGAGAAAAATGTTAGTCGTTACTGCAGTTTAATCCTCCAAGAGACGCATCAAATAATTCATTATACGATCTGGGTTGTGCTTGCTCAACTTGCAGAGGATTGCTGGTTTGCAGTTTCAGTCTTACCTTGTAGAGGACGTAACGGTATTTTATTGGTCAGTCTGCACAAAATGCCTCTGTGATCACTAGCAGCTCATGCTGGCCATGAATGCTGACTAGGACCTACTTCGGCGAACACCATTTAAGCAGGCGAATTTGTACTCACAACGTGTTCTCTTCTGAAAAGAAAAATTGGTCAGGAGAAGTTTGTGAACTATAGAGGCCTGCCAAAGGGAAGACCACTGTCGTCGAAACTGCCGAGTTTGTGGTTACCTAGAACTCTTATCGAAACACGTGGTCTGCGGTGACGAGGGCATCGATATGCTCAAGGACAATTAACTATTTCGCCTTTGGTACGATAGCCAGAACGGCTCGCAGGTCTTTGTTTAACATTTCCTTCACGCCATCTGAACTGCTCATTGGTTGTGGACGTCACAGGCACGAGGACCCATGCTTAGG